AATTTTTACATAACTCCCTCACATGTCTTGCATAGTAATAGGTCTGGTATGAATGAGTGCGGCTGCCTATGATTTCTCAATGTCAACCGTTCATATATACATATATATGGTTTATGGTACTTCGGAGCGCTAGGCTGAACGGTTGACATTACGAAATATATATTAAGAAATATATATATAACCAGATTTCCGGTCAAAAATTGACGGTTTTCTATGAGCAATTTAATAGACGCCTCCTAGAGCCTCTGTCCTTTTTCCTTAACCAATAGAGCGGATCTCTGATGGCAAAATAGTCCTTTTGTGATTCTCCGGCGTTATCGGAAGTTGTACGTATGTTTGCTGTGCTGTGCTGTGCAAGCAAGGCAAAACATTTCTGGTCATCGACAGCGAATCATTCATAAGTGCAGTCGGGTGATTCCTTCATTCAGATACCAGCGAAAGCGTCGACCGAAAAGCGTTTTTTTGCCATTTCCAGTTTTACAGTAGTTTCGACAATATTAATGTGTTATGTTTTCGAGCACAATGCACGGATAGTGCATGTTTTTTGAACGAAAAGAACGCCCTGCTGAAAAAATCCATTAAACTGGTCAACAAAAACCGTGGAAAGTTAGAAAAAAACTCGGCATGCCGTTGATGCGTCGTTTACAGGGCACCAGACAACGACACCATGACAATGTGCCGTAGGTAGCCGTCATTCGGTCGAAAAAATGAACATCTCGGAAACGCACTCTTCACAATACTTTGGCTTATCCTGTCAACTTATGCATGTATTCAGCTAGCTCTCCTGGAACAATATTCGAGAATGTTCCATTTCCAAGATCTACTGTCAGACACGTGACTGCCACGCCATAGTTTTCGTTGAACACTTAAATCTCTGATATGGGATCTACTCGACGGAAGCGACTGTCCGTTTGCTTCAACTCGCCTAAGAGCATCGTTTAAGGAGGCGACGACTCCACGGTATTCGAACACCTGCGGCGCATCGGATGCAAGACCACCACTCTGAGCTGGGCTGAACAACGGCATGTTCTTCACGAATAAAATTTAAACTATCCGAGTCAAATATGTAGACGACAAACGATAAACTATTTTTTTAATGGTTAGTTTTGAACCGGACTTAATGCTTTGAGGTTATTGAGGTTGCCACCATGAAGGCAGCTT